AGAATGTGTAAAGCGTGTTGCATTCCTACTGAAAAATGGGCAACTGAATACTATCCTCCTGTTGCAGACTTCTCATGGAATTCATCATCTTTTTAAACGCGACCGGTCGATATGAACTGAGTTGATCGTCTCTTGCAGTTGCAGTCTCGATCTGTCCGGTCTCGGTTCACCCACGAACAATCCTCAACGCAGCCATCGCGTCCGGATGTCCACAGTCCAGTTGCCAGGTGTTACGATGTACAGTTCAAAGCGTGCCGGTGACGTTGAAGACTCGACGACGAGACGAAAAGTGGCGCGAACCGCCGCAGATTCGAGCAAATCGCGGGCGCCCGGTAGCCGCGGTTCGGACGACTACGTGTCGGCCGATCTGATCTCGTACGCGGCCAAGTCGTGGGCCAGTCACCTGAAAGGACTCCGACAACTGCTCGTCTGCTCTGTCTGTTACGAGTACTCGCGAGAGTTGAACCAGTGCTCGAATGGCCACCTCTTCTGTCCACTTTGCACGGTCCAGCTGGAGCAGACGAGATTCGCCAACCGACTCGCTTGCACCTGTCCCATTTGCCGAGTCCCGCTGACCCCGGCCACCGGTTTCGGTACCACTTCGGCGGCCGAGTCTGCCTCCGCGACTGGCGGTCTCCAACGCAGCCGGTTGGCCCAGGGCATCGCGTCTCGTCTTCCGGAGCCATGTCGGTACTGCGGCGCTTGGCTGGCACCCGATCGGCTCGTCCGGCACGAGGCTCTCTTCTGTGGCCTCCGACCCACGGTTTGTCCGTTCGCTCTGCTCGGCTGCAGTTGGCGTGGCAACGGCGTGGCTCGGATCGACCATCTTGTCGGACGCAACGGTTCCGACTGTCCTGTCTGGCGGATGTACGGAACCGAGATGTACCGCTCGACCAAGGCTGGCCGACGAGCAGATCGAGCTGAAGTCTCCAAATGGTTGCCACATTTGCTGTTGCTACGTCTGGCCGGTAGAGTGGGGGAGGAGAGTGTGCCGGGTCCCGAGGGTCTGCAATGGCAGAGTCTGCAGACTCTGCTGGAGACGAGTCGAGAAGCCAGTTTTGGGATGCGCGGAGCTGCTGGCCTCCGCGTTGTGCCAGTATTGGCCGCTCTGACGAGGAAGACAACGAGCAAACTGGACACACTCACGACGGATCCAGTCTTCTTCGTCAGCTCGCCCATCTGCTTGCCTCTGCACGACAAACTGGCCCTCTGGCTGCGGGTGAGTTGGGCTGAACAGACTCTTCTAGATTCGTCTTATTCTGCATTTGAAAGTACAATTTCTCAACATTCACCATCATCGTATACCTATTTCGTCCGTCGCAGTAACGTGACCAATATGAAATCTTTATGACTCTGAGCGAAGACACACGAATCTTTTCTTAGGCTGTGTACTAAAAACGAAAGATGGGGTACCTTTAGGTCATTTAACTTTTCCATTTTGAAGGAAATGCTACATTGGTCTAATTGGTAATTGTGAAAGGGTTGACTTGTAGTGGTGACTTCTTGACGGTGAATGATCGTACTTGTCGTCATGAGAGACTGTGCTAGGGCGACTAGGTCAAATAAAAAAAAACTAGCCAGCCTCACTTATTCACACTTCTTATGCTTGTTATGATTTAATAGGAAAGCAGAAAATTCATATGCATCCGTTGATCACTACATACTTGGCATTACCTAAAAATGAAGTGGAACAGAATAATTCAACATAATTTAACATTCGCTTGTTGATGGATGATGTGGCTGATGACACTTTTATCATTCTTTTTACGCCACACTATAGACCATAAATAAGCATTTTTAGAGTATATATAAATGGAATCCATTTTGAGATGCAGAGTCTAACCAAAATAAGATAGGATTTGGAGGTAAAGCAAAGTGAATTCTGATTCATACTCATCATATTGTGGAAAAGCTCCTTACCAGTTCTTAGCTCATCTGTCTCAGTGAGAGAGATGAAGGGTTATGGTGAGAAAACGGTGAACCACTTT